AAAATCATCAACAAAACACAGATTCAATAGAAATGCAATCAGAAAGAAAGATACCATTGTTTTCACAGTAATAGATAATTGAGAATTAAAGTACAAATGAAAATATTTTGGCTATATTTCTTTCAAATTAAATTGGCATTCTCAGGCTTGACATTGGCTAGGTGAGTCTATGCCATTAAAGGCTACTCTGTTCATTGTAGGTTACTTAACAGCCTTCTTGGCTTCTGTTGAACAAAAACTAGACTACAAAGGGAGACTCCTCATTATGAGGGTTCTTCTTCAGACAGTGATGACTTCCTAATGGAAACACTCTCCATATTGAAAACCACATCATTAAGCATAAGAATAACCAGTGATGTTTAATAATCATCCTGTTTTGGGTACTATAATGTATTTAATGGTTACACATAATTTAACAAATTTTTACCTTATGGATAAAGTAGCATAGACTTGGGAAATTTAAATCATTCAGCTGTAGAAAACATCAATAGGCATCTGAGGTAGGACTAAAACCAGAAACCAAAGTTTTAAATCCACAATTTAATTTCTCATCACTTTTAGGGGTGATTTCAGTTAAATAATAAATAAATAAATAAATAAAAATTAAAAAAAGAAAAGGTAAAGAAACACTGAAAGTATAATTGAATATGGGAAATCCCCAAAGAACTGAACACATTTTGTTGTTGTTTTGACTAAAGTTGTATAATGAATCTATATTAAAACATAGTTTGCATTGTTGGGCAATTCTGATTATTCTATATGTTTCATGAAAAATTGCCAAGTGAATGTTTATGGGTGTTTACTAGCAAAGTATAAATCACAGCCAGGACATAAAGGACTTAATTTTGAGTTTGGAAAAAATCAGTTTCTAGTAAAAAAATAAAATTGAGATTAGAAATTATGCTTTAAAATTTATTTTTGTCACATGCATTGTAAAATCCTAAGTGATACATTCAAATTCCAAGGGCCAAGTCTCTATTTAAATAACATGTACATTTAAGTTACATAATTCATTCTTACTCATGTAATCAGAAGAAACAAAATTTAAAGGATAATGATTATGTTTTCTTGCAATGTCTTAAAACCCAAATGTATTGGTTTTCCAACTCAAATGACATGAACTTTTCCATGGAACAACACTTTATTTTGAAGGGTTTGTCTGTGTATATATATTTGTGCCTCATTAATGACTCTTAGCTACAATGACATTGAATTATTAGCTTGGCATATTTTTTCAATATTTAGCTTTGCTAAGGCTGATACAATTATAATTTAGCTGTCCAAAAATTAACTGATCACAAAAGAATCTAAAATGTCAATATATAGAGTATGTTATGCTGAAAAAGGACTGTTTTGAAGAATTGCACTTGGTTACTGAATATGGTTACATAATATGTATTTATGGGAGTCAAAATGAATTTCTCTTCTCAAGTGTTAGAATTAAAGTTGTATACAATCATACTTAGCTAGAAACTTTCATACGGATTTTAAGTTAAATTTGTCCTAATCTTTCTGGTTAAAAACACATAAAATAGCTTTTCAATATCGGTTTATAATCTGATATTCTCTACACACTCAGGCATATGGTCAAAACACTGAAATTATTTTCATCCTCCTTTGCCCTCCCTTTTTCTCTTTCCTACTTCCTGTCATTTATCTCACCATGCAAGAAAAATAAAATTACACAAATGAAGCATTACATTTTAGAAATTGTTGCAAATAATGTATATCTTTTGTAGAATTCTGTGATAATTCTTTAAAACTGATTCGTTACTTTAAGACTTATGAAAATGATATAAAGAAACAAATCAGTATTATTATATGCTTGTAATAAAAAATATCCATAATATCCTTGTTCAGTGGAAAAGAGAGAGAACAAGTATTTATACAACTTAAACTGTTCTCAGACAATGCCTTGGAGAATTAAGTTGCTGCTGTAGATAATTATCTGAAGTTTGAATATCTCTCTTCCAATACTGACAACTGCATTAAAATATTGAAAGTAGTATCATCTCATGCATTTGGATATTTCCAACAGTTTGTTATATGTTTGTTTTCCTTTATGCATACATATATTCATATATATAGGTGCATGTGTGTGCACATATACTCATGTGTTCCTGTGTTTGTGCATGTGGGATATGTATATCTATTCTCAACTCTGTAGACATATATGGATACGAGAGGCTGACATCTGGGTGTCCTCCTAAGCTGCTTATCTACCTTATTTACATTCATTTATCCATTCATTTACTGAACTAGGCCCATCAGTGAACTTAGAGTTTGTTTCTGCAGATAGACTGAAAAGTGAATACCCTGGGATTGGCCTGTCTCCGACCCACACAAATTGCATTAAAAACACTTTCTGCCATATATGGCTTTTATGCGGGTGTTGGGTATCTGAATTCATGATAGCTCAGAAAGTACTTTACCCAATAAGTCATCTCCCAATCACAAGAGATTTTACTTTACTGTCTTCTCCATATCTAAAGTGGGAAGATTTGTAATAATAGTTACATTGTGAGCGACAAGGAAATGACTTCACTCTGGTACAGTGATTTTTGGAAAGAAACAATTTTTGATGGTTTAAGGATACACTTTTTGTCCAGTTTCACTGTGCATCTAAGACATGCCATGTTTGAATAGATTTAGATGTAGCCTCTTTATACCCATTACATTAATTGTATTATGACCACTTGAAATCTGAACAACACTTCAGGTTGTTTTTAGCACTGATACAGCACCCTTAAAAACAGACATATATAGCCAAACATGATTAGAAAGGGAGGTAGAAAACTGTGCATTGACGTGACATGTGTTAAAAGATCAGTAAATACAACGTGGTGCCATTGCTGAGATTGTATTTCAACATCTTTTCAAACATTATTCCACGATACAAAGTAATGAAAAAATACTCTTACTATATTGTGATTCTGAAATAATAGAACAGTTTAAAAAATAAAAAGTGCCTGATATATATGGAGACACCTTCTTAATTACTCAGGATATGATCCACTCATGTGTGTATGTGCAAGACAGGGAGAGAGACAGAGACAGAAAAAGAATCTTCTTGTTCATTCTCCATTGTGCTTTATATACCTTTTAGCATTTTTAGTGGGATCTTCACTGGCTTAATAGTAGAAGGGACACAAGACACTAATGAACACTCACTCGACCACACAGCATTATAGTTTTATCAGTTTTAAAATGGAGCTGTTTACTGTCAATTTTTTTCTGGTTTACTTTTAAAAATCTGAAAAATCACTTATTAGATACTGTTCAAGGCAAATATATTTATCAAGAGAATATTAAATCATTTTGTAGAAATGAGATCTTGTAAAAATTACACTCAGAATGTTTAAATGCATACAGCACAGAGAATAGCAAGGTTTCTTATGCTTGCTTTGAGAACATACTAAATTACGTGTCATGATTTCTTTCACAGTCTGGTGAAGCTATTTGAGTCAGTCTTCACAAATTTGGGATGCAGATTTAGAAAACTGATGTTTTAGAATCGTAAGACACCATCCTTATAACTATTACAGGAATTTATTCAGCTAACAGAAAATTGGTATAATATTTAAATTCACTGGGTTTTGCTCATTTTCTGAATAGTCAAGGTTTGACAGACAGCACTGACCTAAACAGAAATTTACAAAACAACTTTGATTATGTCCTTACTTGAAATTTTTAGTTTCAATTAACCACTGGCCTCCAGCTCACAATTTCCCACGTCAACAGTAACTCACTGCAATTGTACATTATAGTAGAGTCTTGCCAATTTGTACACAACAGCTATTCAAATATCAATACTGTGTACAGACAGAATATGTGGTTTGGAAAAGAAAGACATGCAGAAGCAGAAATATCAAAAGTTCAAAGCTATCCTTATTGAATAGGCCTTACTTCAAGACACATGAGTTATTCGTCTTTATTTCTCATACATGTACTGGCAAATAGTTGAAAAGCAAAGTAACCATTATTAATGTAGTTTTGAACCAATAGTTATAAAAAAGAGAACTGTTTTCAGTCTTTATATTTTAAATTTAATATACACTCAAATTTATCAATCAGTAAAACACAATTTTAAAGTATAGTAGTTTGTACATTTGCCTTTTTGGTTGAATTAACATTTTTCTAAACATTTACATAGTTATATATATGTCAGTCCCTTATTGGCTTCCAGGAATAACATAGTATTACCTTATTACAGTCTTTCATAGGATTAATACAATTAATATTTAGATATTGGGTGATGTCTAGGTATCCAAGGGTATCATCAGGGTGTCTAAGAGCATGTACTTAGTTGTGTGATGACCTCATTTCTTGGGGGTGTTTTTTCTCAGCATAGGACAGTTTTATTTATTTCTCTATGTTACGGTAAAATACTGTACAAATTACTTCTTTTAATCCTTGACCAAAGAAGCAACTGATAATTCCCTATTTTGTGTTAACTTAAAATGATACTTGGACAAATGAAATATACTAACTAGGTACAATGTGGTCATAAAGAGTCATAATAAACAACAGAATTTGCTTCTAATAATGCCAGGCTCTCTAAAAATTTGTCTTCTTTAGAGATAAAGTTCACATGCCCAATTCTCTGTAAAGATTATAGTAATGACTACAGATGTCAGTAATTTGAAACAGTTTACATAAGACAAAATTCTTTGACTTTACTCTTTTGTTTCCAGTAAATGAACTGAAAGGTAAATTGGAACAGGCATTTTAACAAAGGAACAGTTATGAGAAGCTAGAAGAGACTCTTAGACCCTGAGAAAGTACACACATACTGAAGAGATTTTGGAGGTTACAGAAATAAACAGGAAAGAACTTCAAGAAATAAGAAAAAGTGAAACCATGGGATATATTTTGTACCAATAATTGTGTGTAAAAGAATAAACAAAACTAAGACAGATCTAACTATATATATGATATATATTCTTTTAATAAAAACAGAGACATTGTTTAATGCAAATAATTTTATTATGTATTTACAAGTAATCTGACATTGGGTAGAAGAAATACCTACAGTATCATTTTAATATAAAATGACAAATGACTTTAATAAATTAAAATGACCATTTTTACTGAAAAATTAAATAGTAATTATGTAAAAATAGTTTTAAATCATCAGTAATATATTTAAGTATACTGTTTACAGCACAAATGAATTTCTTGAGAATCCAAAAAATAATGGACAAAACATTCATGCTTTCTAGATGTGATTTAATAGTAACTGTGAGAATGGGATTAAGCGAACTAAGAAAGCAAGCCAAGTGGTTGTGATATTATGTATGTTAAGTTATCAGTATGAAGGAAGACAGTGCTCTGATATTAGTCCATAATAAGTAATGGTACCCTGTTACCTTTTGTGGTGATGAGCAATGAATTGAATGAATCAAACAAGCCAAAATGATAGCTAAGGATGTCTACAGAACCAGTCAGTATCAATATTACATGAAGAGATGAAGTTCAGATGGTGTTTTAGTGACTTAGAACATCCTAACCTTTTAAAAATTTTAAAACAAAATTTTAACCTTTACATTTTCAGGTCATTTGAAGTCAGTTATCATGATTTCACAGGTTAAAACATTATTAATTAAGATGTAATCTAGATGGAACCACAATAATAGGACTATTAATTTCACAAATAATGATTAGGCTAAAATAATTACACATAAAGAGCATATAATAAAGTACAAATGACTTTTAGCCTTAAACAATTCGATACTTAGCTCTAGTGAGTTTTATTTAATAGGATTTGCTAAATTGTATCTTAAACGTGCAAACAGAAAAGGGCACAATTGGTTCCACTGAGATTGTACCAAATAACAACACATCAGAGGCAGGCTCTAACATATTCTGAGACTTCAAGAATGTAAGTTGCACCATGTGGATATTAAATGAGCTTCCTGCCAGAGAAACTTGGTTTAAGTAGTTACCTGGTTATTGACTGCAGAAAGCTGTCATTTAGGGGTATGTTCTTTCAGTTTTTGTTTTTTTTTGTTTTGTTACACAGGACTAACCACACCAATTGTGCTTACAGTTTCTTTTGCTTTATATTTACATTCATATAACGTAAGTATCCATATAGAAACTCATCAAGGAAACATAATTTTCCACAACATAAAGTACCAGTACTTTGTCATGAAGTTGTAATTCCAATTATCCAAAACTCAAATATTGTTTGTTTGATGCACAAGAATGCAAAGTTACTGGTCACGGGAAGCATGAACCATGCAGCTGTTAATAATACAGGCTGAAAAAGATGAGGCTTCTTTGAAAGCTGCCACATATGGACACAGCTTAACTGTTCTCCCTTGATTGTATCCACTCTGTTGTCTGCATATACTTTTCTTGCCCCAACATTTATGTAAAAATGATTAGAAAAATTACTCACTCCAAGGTCACCTGAGCCACAGCGTCCATTGAACTGTATCCATTTTCCATGAAAATCTCTGTATACCGGCCCATCTTGATTGCTTCCAGCCATTCACCTACTGATCTGTAGGCCCCAGACCCCAGAGAACCATGCTCAGCCAACAAAGTAGATACCCTAAAACAAATAAAACATAAATATTGCAAGGAGCAAATTGTGAATTTTTATCTGTACTTACAATGTTAAGTCAAATTTCAAGAATCTTTGGGACAATTAAATTATAAGGAAATATACAATCACTTGCATAATAAATAATTCAAAATGGCAGTGGGGGAAAAACAAAAATAACCTTTAGATTTTCATTGTAGACTGCAGATGTGGGCTTATAATAGAGAAATTAGTAAATTATCTGTGAAAAAGAAAATATTTTAAATTTTCATTGTTCATTTTTGATGGCATTAAATTATATTAAATTTATTATGTAAAGTTTTATCTCCAGCTTGCCATAAGCTTGCTTTGAGTTTTCCAGGTTTCTCATACAAGCATAAATTCAACATGGCCAGAATAAAATTCATTTTCTCTACCAACTAACAAGTGTTTCCAATTACAGTATTTGATACAATAGTCCAGCTCTTCCTTTTCCTCATTTTCCCTCACAGTCTATCATAGTACATTTTATCCATATAGCTTAAAAGTTTCATATTTGACCAATTCTTTTCCACTTATCAACAACTTCATTAAAGAATCCTTCCTGGTATATCTGTATGACTAAACGCACCATGCACTTCTGACACAGAACCTGAAGGATCAAACATGATCTGATCTGAAAGTCCCATTCTGCCGTAAGTCTGAGAACATGCAAGGGTAGGATCAGTCAATAGTCCTACAATTGATGATGCCAGTGTATTACAGATATTCATCATTGCACAATAACACTCACTATGTGTGCAATAGTGATATTAACATCATGGTGGAAATCATCACCTTTCTAAGTGGATTTAATTCAACAAATAGGAAATCACCCCTGGTACTGGAAGTTTACCCAATTACTCAGGGTTAATGAGATCGTGGATCTTAGAGAATAAATAATAACTGCCATTGTACGAAAGCAACATAATTACTAACTGCATTACAAATATTAAAACTTATTTAAAAATATAGATCTTTTCCTTCATCAAAGAAATTTCTCTTTGCAAAGAGTTCATTACAGAAATCCACAACTGATCAAAATTCAGAGAACAAGTGATCATATGGTGCTCAATATCAAATGGCACATCTTCAACACCATTCTTGTATCCATACTCCAAGGGACATTGAAGAAGAGGAGACAAAAAATTGTAAGAGAATTCTTTGGTGAGATTGTGCCCCCTAGAAATGTCAGGAAAGCTATACCCATAGACTCTCAACAACATGGTAGTCTAAACAAGACCTGGGAAAATTAATGTTAACATGGAATTATACACACACACACACACACACACACACACACACACACACACACTTGGTGCAATTAAAGAAGTCCAGATCATGCATTTGGGAAATTTTAGAGAGAGACCTAGGGGAAGTACATGGTAGGATTTGGAAGAGGAAAGGGAAAGGAGGAAATGATGTAATTGTATTTAAAGATCAAAAAATGTAAATTAAAATAAAAGACATCTTCTTGTCTCTACCGGAACAACAATATACACTCTAAATTATCTGGAATTCTCCTCTCATTCTCTAGTTCAGAAACAAATACAAGCTATATTTGTATGATGTTTTGATTTTGTCTCTCTCTCATCATCTAGTATGATGACTTCACAAAGGGAAAATATCTAGATCTGCTGGACTAAACCTGGTGTCTTCAGATTTTAGATCACAGCATAATACAAACTGAAAAATATAATATTAGTTGAATGATATACTGATCTCTGGTCATTAATCAAATTTTTATAATAATTTATAAAATACAGATATAAAGAAGGAAATGAGCTAAGAGTTGAATAAATATTAAATTATGGAATCCTCAAAATTTTGCATATTCAAGTCTCAAAAATATTGCCACTTGGGAGAGTTCAATAGAGTTTAGAAAATAAGATCACTAAATGAAAAATATTAAGGAACTTTTAAGATGCTATGGGAGAATGCTCTTATACACCATAAAGATTCATCACTTGTATTGGTTTAATAAACACTGATTGATCTGTAGTCAGGCAGGAAGAATAGGTGGGGCAACTAGACTAGAAAAATTCTGGGAAGAGGAAAGGCAGGGATGCAGTCAGCAGTCAGACACAGAGGAAGCAAGATGAGAATACTGCACTGAGAAAAGGTACAAAGCCATGTGGCTAAACATAGACAAGAATTATGGATTAATTTAAGTTGTCAGAGCTAGTTAATAATTAACCTGTGCTAATCGGCCAAACAGTTTATAATTCATATAAGACTCGGTGTGTTTCTTTAGAACTGAACAACTGTGAGATGGGGCAGAACAGAAACTTCTGTCTACAATGAGATATTCAAATGTTATTTATATAACTACAGGATTCATCAAATCTTGTAATATAAGTGAACGTGGATGATATCCAAGAGCAAACTCCTTGCAGAATTAGTTGTTGTATGTGACTGATTAATTAAAAATGGGTAGTGAATAGTACATACTGAATGCTTACTCTATGCACAAGTCTAATATGTTAAATTCTATAAATTATATATAATAAAATCCTATACATCATATTTAAGAAAATAAGGAAAGATGCTTAAGGAAAAATCAATATAATTTAGAACACTAGAAGTTTTTTTTTTTAATTTTCACCTTTCCTTAGATTCATTTGTGACAATCACCTCAACATCATTCAAATAAGTAGATTAGAGACAGACTTAACACTGTACATCACCATGAGGAATTTAAAAGTATATTTAGGGAAAAACATATAGAATAATTGCTAAGGAGATATAATCTCCAGCTCTTAGTATAGAAAGTTCAAAATACCTCAATAGATTTTTAGGGTTCATTTCTGACTTATGTTGAAATACTTAGTAAACAAGTGTTACATCAAGATCATTGAATTTATACAACTTCATCATAAGCAAACAACTTTATTTAATTCATTTTAATAGGCAGCCATTTTAGCTACTAGCATGATTTCCTTTCTTGTAAAAAATAGACAGTGACATTAAATACACTGAAGCTAATAATCTAGTAAATTTTCTAATTTTGAACCAACTTGATTTTTATTACTGGGAATATTTCAATAATTTTTCTGCAAAAGAGAAAAAAGTACTTTGCAAATATCCAATGTTATTTAAGTACATTCTTATTGTAATTCAGAAAAGTAGAAAATATGGTTATTGGCTTGTATATATTTCATTTACCAGTTTTAAATCTTCAAACGAAATAATAAATTATTAACAAATATCTCTGTACAACCAGATAAAGGTGAAGAGTTTAAGCAGTCATCAATGTTCATAAACTGAATGTTACAATACAACCATATGCTAATGACCAATACTGAAATATATTCTAAAATATTCATGTGTTATCACTACTAGATAGCTAGTTTAAAATGCATCAGGGCTTCATTAACTCCTATAATCTCATTTCTCTACCTGAACCTATGCTCTAGAAACATTTGGATCTTGTTTTCTAAAGCTGTTTCACTGTAGCAAGCATGTGCTCTCTTTTTGACAATGACATATCACACAAATAGGTTAGGTAAAGACATTTATTTTATCAACTTGATCAGATATACTCAGGAAAAATTACTCAAGTCTGGTATTGTACCTGCTTGATGCATTAACCAATGTCTTTAGACTACTTGGGTTTCGTATCAGCTTGTCCAGCATGTTGACTATTTCATCAAACTTGGGCCTGCTATTTCGATCTTTTTGCCAGCAATCCAGCATTAATTGATAGAGAGCAGCAGGACAGTCCATGGGACTTGGCAGGCGGTAGCCTTCTTCCACTGCTTTGATCACCTGCACAAAGCAAAAACAGAACGAGTCCACAATACCACTAATGTAATGGAGGTGTTTGAGAAATTTCCTCCTTCTAACTTTCATCTGTATTTTTACATTTGTGGTACTAACTAGCTTCACTATTTTTGTAAACCATGATCACTTTTATTTGCTCCAAAACAAGACAATAGGAAAGAAGGTACTATTACATACATAATTAAAAATTAGGCCCTTTTCACATGTTAAGAACTAAATGGTAGTGATGGTGCATGCTCTTAGTCCAAGCACTAGAGAGGAAGAGGTAATTTGATCTTTGTGAATTCAAGGCCAGCTTGGTCCACATAGTGACTTGCAGGATAGCCAGGACTATGTGAAAAGATCCCGTGTCAAACAATAAAAACAAAAATAGACCAAAGAAAACAAAACAAAATAAAAACCAAACTTGAGATGAGGTTTACTTATAGTCTTGGTGAAGGATATTTTATCAAACTAACTGCCAAAAAGTAGATCATGTTTTATTTATTCTTGCCTTCTAGTATTAAATAATAATTATATTTTCTAGTGATTCCTCTGAAAATATAATATTTTTTTCTTAAAATTATTTACAGTCACATTTTCAATGTACTAAAATGGCAATTTCATTTCAAAATAGGATTTTGGATGGAAAATGCTGGATAAGTCAAAGGCTAAATTAGCATAACTGTCTCATGTATCATTTAATAATGTCAAGGTCTGACTGTTTATTATTATCTTTGGATTTCTTTCAGGAATTTGAAATGAGTGTCTACTGGCATAGACATTGGGAATATTCATTTTAAACACATATGAGTATCAGTCTATTTGTGGAGAAAAAACATATTACTATTGCTGACATCAAAATATCTAAATACAGAAAAGTATTTATTTGTATTACCAAACAATTTAATGGTGTTTTAACTCATTTATCAAAATATCCCAAAACATTATTAAGGAATATGTTTCTCAAAAACACAATGAATTACCTTTAGCAAATTCAAATGTATTATACCTCAAATAATTTAGGTTTTGTTTAACAAACTGTAAGATAAAATCAGTAAAAAAAAATTACAAAAAAAAGGCTTCAGGGATTGATTTAAGTTAAGGCAATCTCTTCAGAATAAAGGGGTTGACGTTATCAAATATGGTGGCAGTAAGGAAGAAGTTACTGTATATTTACAAAACATATATGACTCAGGACTATAGGGAAAAGGATATCAGAGATCACACAAGTTCAAGCCCACCATATTGAAAAGGAATTTCTGCTATATTGAAGTACACAAGTATGTGAAGAAAATAAATATAATTAGGTTTAACCTGGAATTTCTTTTTATTTGTTGTAAGTGGGGGGATAGACAGACTACAGTGTGTGTGAATCTAACTGCTACAGATGGACCTTTGGGAATATAAATGCTAGGATTAGTAGTCTTTGATCACAAGTCAAAGTCATCTAGTTTCTATCTACCAAAGAAATTAATAGAAACTATTCTATGTAGAACCAAGTGCAGGCGGAAAGATATAAGTGCCCAAGGATTCTGAAAGTGTCTGAAAAATAATTGAAAAACTTCAGAGAAGTGACCTAAGCAAAATTGTACCTTAGCTAACCTATTTAACTTCAAAACAACATAGAAATCAAAAGGCAAACTGTGCAAAAAAGTATTTTCAACAAATGTAGCAAAGCTGATGCATTAAGGCAAAAGCATTATGGGAAATAAAAACAATAGGTTAAAAAACAACTCCCAATTAAAGTTTAGAGAAGAAAATTAACAGATGTCAAATACAAAAGATGCATTAACAGTACCAATTGCCCTGATATCTCAAAGGGACTAAATTTATTTACTTTCTTGTTTTTTTTTGTTTTACATTTTTTCATAAGATACTACTACTACTATTATCTTTAGTATCCTAACTGGCCAACATAGAGGTATATCATTTAAATCATTAAATATTATAAACTCAGCAAAATTTTACTTAAATCTTAATCTAATTTGACAAAATACTGGTATTCAGAATTTATATTAGCTTTTGGCTTTTCTGCTGGGCTTGGGTGGATGATGAGAGATATTGTGAAGAAAAGTGAAGCTGTTCTAATACAGATTTCTTTTCTCTGGACCAAAGGTAAGTCCGTAGAAGCACTCAACAACATTCATCTACCATCAGAGTCTTCCTGTTTGCTCTATAACTTCACTTGCTACAATTTTAAGTGTAACTTATTGCAATTTTAACTTAACCGATATAGTCACCAATACCTCATATATATTGATTGAACATCCATTGCATAGTTAAGAATGTCTAATGAATCAGATGTCAAAGTATCTCAGGAGTGGGTAGAAACTGTAGAGGCTGACAAACAGGGGAATCATATTTCTATGAAATAGATTAATAGTATGTGTTTTTATTTGAGGTATTTGTGAAAAGACAGAGAAATTGAGGCTTGGCAAATAAATTAAAAACAAAACTGTGTTGTTCAAAGGTGATGTGAGCATCTGACATTTATGTGAAAAAAATTGTAGAAAACAAGGTTTTGTTTAGCCATGTTCAATTCAGATTAATTTCTATCTATTGAATTGAACATTTCATGACTCATTCATTTAGAAGACTGATATGATTGGGACATAAAAATAACAGAATTGCATAATAATTCATTTGCTCTATATCATAACCATTGTTATAAATCATATATTTTAAAAATCATGAAAAAGGGTTGATTTTTCTACTATAAATTTTGTTATTTTATGACATTAAGAAAATTGCTGAGCTTCTCTAGGCCCCAGTTCTCTACTATAGAAGAAAAATAATAGTAACATCTCTTTATTGTATTAAGTTTACATATATAAATATAATATTAAAATATTTAAGATATAAATTGCATGTATAAATGCATAAACACATATTTCTGAAATGGAATGACATTTTTATAAAATTCCATCCCTTAATGCTTAAGTTTGAAGACAATAGACCCTCTGCCTCCTCAACTATAAAGAAGTATAAATCATTACTAGCTTTCTGGAGCCAAATGAGCTGTGCACAAACTAGATCAATTATAGCAACTGTAGGAGACTACAGAGGGGAGACGGTGTCTCATGAATGTAACCTTCTGGTGCTACCAGAGAAAAATTTAGGGAAAGCTGAGATGTTGCTTTTACTATCTACTCATGGAAAATTGAAGAATGTAGACTAGTCAACACAGTCTGGGAAAACAATTCCAAATAAGGATCAATACAATGCCTCTAGCAAGACTGCTTTCCTTTGTACGGGAAACACACACATGGTGAAGGAAGTGCTCATGAGGAGGGAAATGAACAGCAAGAGAAAGAAGATTTAGGAAGTCAGCTAGATTCCATTGTCCTCTTTGTTCTTTCTAAATATCTCTATCAAGTGTCTTTGCAGAATGAAAACATACCACTCATGCCCACGTGCTTTTTGGGAACAGATATAAACAACTCATCTTTAAAAATCAAATCTGTTCCCAGGCTTCTGTCCCTCTACTTTGATAAATACTGACCAATCCAAGAACAGATATTGGTAAAGAAAAAAGAACAAACATTTGAACATGCGGCCTATTAATTATTCACATAACTTGGGTTTCCATGACTTGCAGTTAGGACAAATACCTTGAATTATACCTGAAATGTAGTTGTGACTGTACTTTGAAAGTCAGATTTGATTGCTTTGTATGGGATTGCCATTGTAAGAAAAGTGAGTTGCAAACTCATAGCATCTGCCTACAAGCCCCTGAGGGTATGCACAGAGAAAGGATGTGCTATAGAGTTGGGATATAAGAAATAATTGGAGAAAGAAAAAATATATTCCAAGTAAATACATTATTGAGTTAAAATTGTTTAGTACGCTGATTTACAAAGAGTTATTCATGGGTAAAGGGTAAATGGTACACTCTGCAGGTTCAACACTCCTAGCTACTTTTATAGTTATTATCAGAGGGAAAATATCAAATTTTAAAATGATCCAGACTCAAAGAGAGTGTATTGAATATTAATGGTGGGAAATGATTAAAGCAAAGGTCACAGTTCTGTCCTAGGCATCATAACGTAAGCATTTAAACTTGGGAAGAGAATTTTTTAGTGTGGTTCTTTTCCTGTTAGAATTATTTAATTCTACACATTAATTGCATTTTTATTGTTAGAAGAATATTTGCTTCTCCTAGTTATAAATGCAATGTAGTTCATCTTTCATTTCAAAGATTAGATTTCAGCATTCATTCTCAGATTGCCTCTCCTTCTTCATCTTTGAGAACAATGCTGACATAAAACTAGTGGAACAGCACTGTGGTATAACTAAACCTACTTGGCAAAGGACTAAAGTTTTACCCAACTGTAACTTATGCTACTATACCTCAACTCATTTTTAGCATTCACATAAAGATTATTTTCATAGCAACAAATGTAGCAAAAGGTGAATGAAGCATTTTATATTTTCCAAGTAGCTATCTTTTTCACAATTTTAAAATACTATAAGAGCCTGGACTCAGAGAACAAAGCATTTCATTCTCAACTTGGGGGAAAAAAGAGAATCCCTGTACTTACATCCTGATTGGTCATCTCCCAGTAGGGTCTCTCGCCATAAGATACAACTTCCCACATTACGATTCCATAGCTCCAGACATCACTGGCAGAGGTGAACTTTCGAAAAGCTATTGCTTCTGGGGCAGTCCATCTGATTGGAATTTTGCCTCCCTAAAATTAAAAACACATGTACATATATAAGTATATATATATATATATATGTATATATATACATATATATATATGCATCCATATACATTAGCATACTTCAAGGGTATCTAGGGATACTGCAGCTTCTTTGAGAAGATCTAGAAAGAGATGTAACATTTTTAAGTGAATCTGTTTGACAGCATGCCGTCTCTCTTCACATCTCCCAACCCACGAGCCCTTGTAGGCTAACAACTAATTGGCTGTCGGGAAGGTTTCTGCTATGAATTCTGTTTGACTCTTGGAAGGCACACAGGACCTACATCTCAATTAGAGTGCTCAGGATGGCAGCGCTGATTAGGGGAGGGAGGCACTCAGGCACATCACTAAGGTGAACACACAGCATTGTAAAAGTAAAGGACTCAAATACTCTGCATGACTCGTTGTTAAATGAAACCCTGGCATGTTTCAGTTTATACGACAAGCAGGAAAATTCTACATGCGGAAAACTAAAAGGTCGCTTTTCCTTAACATTGTTTTACTTCTATAAAGCTTGATTATTCACCTCGGAGTTTAACACCATACTTCAGTGTTTATCAGTTAGAATATTGAACCTAAGAAACACCATTGCTTAACTTAACTACTCAAAAGATTGTGGGGACTCAAAAAGATCACATTTTACAGTTATTTTTTCATGTACTTGCTAATATATATTGAGAGACAGATTTTCTTACCAAAAGACTAATTCCCACCTACCTATGCTGTAGAAAGAATAGTGAAAAAATTAGCATACAAGAAAAAGAGACATATTTACTTTAAAAGGGAAACTTTTTAGGTATATAGGAAAATAAGTTTTATGTCATGACTGAAATTTGAAAAGGGGTAAAATTTAGGCTAAATCTTTTTATACACACACAAACACATGCACACATATGGTAATATTACCAGAAATTTTTGGGAAACTGTTCTGTCTAATAATACATATAAATCATCGCATCACACAGAGTTGTAATACGCTTGTTTTCTTTGGTATCATTTTCATTTGTATGTAGATTTATTTTTATTTTTAAGTATACATATATATATATGTGTGTGTGTGTGTGTGTGTGTGTGTGTGTGTAGGGGGGATGCATATGAGTACAAGTGTTAGCAGATGCTCCCACATCTTCTGGAGCTAGTTACAGTTTTTTTCTTTTAAGCTGCCTGATATGCTATTAGGAATCTAACTGACATTCTATATAAGAGCAGTTTGTGCTCCTAACAATGGAGCCGTCTCTTCAGGGCCTTGGGATAAGTTTTTACTGCTTTGCTACTTGAAGCAGAATCTTGCTCTGTTGTTCAGGCTGGCCTTGAGATCGGGACTTGTAGCGTCCAATCGCCCCAGCCTGAATTTTTGGATTGGATGTGAATTATCTTGTTCTTCAACATGTGATTAAATTGCCTTTTCAAGACTGTAGTTCATTGATTCTGCTGAGTGTCAGCTCTCTAACTTGTTCTCCTGTTCATTGGAACAATGCTCGCATCACTAACTTCTGAGGCTCACTTACCTGATAGGTCTCATTACTTATATTTTCTACAAACTGCTTTCACACCCTATTCCTAGAAGGGAGGCTTGAAAGTATCAGGATCCCTGGCTCTTCCGCTGGTGCTGCAGCATAACACAGTAGCAAGGGCCTTGGGTGGGATAGCTGCTCCTATTTACCTAAGACAGCCACTCATCACAACAGCAACAGACCTTCCATAACCTCAATCTTGCTTAGGCCAACTTTATTAAGTGCAATTCTAATCCGGAAAGAGTTCTTAATTGAGGTTTTACTTAATGAAATAACAGCTGTAATAGTTAGATGTGGGAAAGTAGAAATATCGCATCAATTAATTCATTGGTTTAATGAGATGACCTTCAGAAGTCTTTGGTCGCTTAAATAAATTACTCTTGTTCTCCATCATGGTATAAATCCCTCCAAATCCATGTGCCGCAAGTCAAAGTTGTCAAACTGGAACTATCCAACTATATAATATAGTAAAGAACTTTTTATTAGACTACCAGTTTTATAGGAAAATTTAATAAGGAGACATGAAATGCATGGGTTTAAGAATTAGAGGTGACAAAAGTGTTCTTCTGTATTGGAACATAATTAGCTAATTTATACAGAGAAGGAACATACAATAAATCCCCATGCGCACAAATAATTCTAAAGTTGAGGATATCCAACAAAATATTTGGAATATTTCAAACATTTATTAAAAGGTTTTCTTAATGATGGATGGCGATACAGACAGAGACCCACATTGGAGCACCGGACTGAGCCCCACATGGTCCAAATGAGGAGCAGAGGGAGGAAGAACATGAAAAAGGAAATCAGGACCGCGAGGGGTGCGATCACCCACTGATACAAGGGGACTGATCTAAGGAGAGTTCACCAAGGCCAGTTGGACTGGGACTGAGCGAGCACGCGATCCAACCAGATTCTCTGAATGTGGCCGGATTCTCTGAATGTGGCTGGCCTGGAGTCTTTCTGAAAAGCCATTGACAATGACATTGGGACTTGTTTCCTCTGCATATACTGGATTTTTGGGATCTAGTCTGTTTGGATACTCACCTTCCTGGACCTGGAGGGAGGGGGGAGGAACTTGAACTTCCCACAGGGCAGGAAGCCCTGACTGCTCTTAGGGATGGAGAGGGAGGAGGAGGGGGAGTGGGGGGAGTGCGAAGGTTTTGGGAGGAGGGGCGGAAATGGAAACTTTTATAATTTAATAAACTTTGAATTTAAATATTAAAAAATAATTCAATTAAATTTTTAAATTTTAACACAAATTAAATTAAAATTTAAAATTGTAAAGCAAATTGTTCCCAAACTCCTTTTATAACATCAGTCACTGCTCTCCTCAGCTAATATTATACTTTGTTATTTCAGTTATTTTATTTCAGTTATTTAGCTTTCTGTAAGCTGTATATTTATGATAGCTATTACACTGTGAGTAATAACCAGTTTTTCATAAACTTAGGCTTAATAGTTCTTCTACTTTGTAAATCAAGTAGTGAGACATTTTAAGCCCTCCAGAAAATAAAAACTTAAAAAAATATGAACCTTTTTTCCCACAACTTAAACTCATGAAATGAAGAATAAAATATTTTTAATTTATTTCACAGTAGAAAACACTATAGTAAAGATAAGTTAATTTTCCCAATAATACTATCTATACAAATTTATATGTGTATATAACCATATTCATTCTTCATATACACACCATGTTAACAAACATATGTAATATAAAATTCTGTATTTTACTCTTCTTTTACTTTTAAACATTCTATAAAACACACAAACACCATCATGTATGAAATCAGAATACTGTTTTTGGCATCTTTTCTAGTTAGGATTACTATTGCCATGATAAAACACCATGACCAAAGCAACTAGGAGAGGAAAGAGTTTATTTGGTTTATGCTGCAACAACAATGGTCATCATCAAAGGTCATCAGGACAGGAAGATCAACAGGGAAGGAACGTGGAGGCAGAGTTGATGCAGAAGCCATAAAGGGGTGCTCCTTACTGGATGTTTCTTATGGGTTACTCAGCCTATTTTCTGTAAAATACAAGACTATTAGCCCAGGAATGGTCCTACTTACAATGTGCCAGGGCCTCCCTCAACCATCACTAATTTAAAAAATGCCCCACAGGCTTCCCTGAAGTTCAGTTTTATGTATGCATTTTTTCAATTGAGGCTTCCTTCACTCCTGTGAGTCTAGCTTGTGTTGTGTTGACATATATCTAGCCAGCACAATATCCCTAGGAAAAATAAATAAATTACTGATGCTAGGAAGGTAAATAATTTCATAATCTAAGTTTAATATTTGATTTTTCTGGTACTAAAAAAATGTAGAATTGGATTTTCTATTCTCTCTCCTTTTCTCTTATATTTCCTCTATCTCCTCTTGACTTCATTAGAGGAATGCCCTTTTTGCTACTTCTTTTAACAATTTTAAAAATTAAATGCTAGTAGTCTAGCGTGTGAAAAATACATTCTGTTAGATCTTACCCTTGTGGTGTAGGCTGCCTCAGGATCATCTTCTAGTACCCTGGAAAGCCCAAAGTCAGACACTTTGCACACAAGGTTACTGTTGATTAAGATGTTCCTAGCAGCAAGGTCTCTGTGCACGTAGCCCATGTCAGAAAGGTACTTCATTCCTGCAGCGATGCCTCTCAGCATGCCAACAAGCTGAATCACAGTGAACTGGCCATCGTTTTTCTACAAAGACAGTACAACGTTAGGAAAGCCGTACGACTCACAGGAGTAAAATTTGGAAAAAGCCTTCTTTCATTTTTCAAATTACTGTTAGCACCTTTCAGAATAAAAATGCAATTTCTACACAAGGAGGAGGGAAAGCATTCGAAAGCACGAATTTAACTGATTGTGTTGATCAGGTCAAACCTGGCAAAGACTTTGAAAGTCCTTCAAAAATCTCATGCAGCACACATACACATGCACAGACATGCACACATGCAAAAAGAGGCACTTTAAAAAGAGAGTTCCAGTGGATGGATAAAGATGGGGAAAGAAGTGTAATAGGATGTATAAAATACTAAAATTCATTATATACATGTTTGAAACCATCAAAGAATCAAATAAATAAATAATGTTTTAATTATCTTTGGAATATAGCTGCCAATTAAAAATTATACAACATAAATTATACAACTATGTACACTCTCCCCACATGTCTTAACATAGGTGCATAATATGAGTTTTAACATATTCAAACATGTTTTAACATAGTTGTGTAGAAATATATGTTCAGGGCAAAGGCTCTAGTATATTTCCTATAAGGAATTGTATATAATGGGAAAATAACTACAGGAAGAAGAAATACAAATGATGAGTGGTTCAAGAAGCAATTTATTAGTGTTGTGCTCTCTTTTGATAAGAATTTGATATGCAATCCTTAATTATTAAACCTAATAAGCCGAAAATATTTATTAAAACTGACATAAAGAAGACACACAAAATAATATATCATTATAACTTCTATTTAAGAGACAAATATGTTGGGTCTTGACTTGATAATAGCTCAGATAGTATGTACCTCTCTACTATCAATAATTACTTGGAAACCTAAATTGTGAGAACTTATGTTTTGTTCAATTGAAATTACTATTAACTAATTCATTTATTTATATTTTAAATATGATTTACTTACTTCTCCATGTAGAGCTATCTGACTTCGAACTCATAGAGATCTACCTACATCCACACCCAAGTGGCACCATTAATGGTTTGTCCCAACACACTCAGTTGTGCTTAATGTACATTTTGTGTTCTTATAGTGCCGGAGATTGAGTGCCACTGATAATTTTAAACGTATTCTTTTTTCTAGTAATAAAAGTAATAAGTCCATATTTAAATTTTAAAAAATATTGTGTAAGGAGGAAAACACGGACAATCCATAGTTGAATTGTGTTATTCCCTAATAATACCACTTTTAGTTATTTCTTTTCTTTTTTCTGGAGGTAGTTCTTTTACTACTCAAGTGTCAACATACCTTCTTTATCTGCATTCTTTGCTTAATAGTTCTAAACACATAACATGCATAACATTGTATCTCATGTTACAGACTATTAAAACAGCATGTGCCATTTAAAATAATCCACATTGCTGCCTTATCATGTACTGTAGCTTCTTTTTTCAATACATCAGAGGAATTTGCTCATTGCAGCAAAATAGTGTCAACCTTGGCTAACACTGAGTATACTTTGAGGTAATTTAAAAGCTATCTAGATAAACTTATTGAAGTAAACATGAAATGGCCCGAGGCAACTCAGGAGTTTCTGTAGTGTGGTTGAAAGCAGGGATAATTACTGAGCCCTGGATGGGAAAATATCAACGGTTCTTGGAAGTCTGTTGTTTTTGTCAAAGGCATTTAATGTAACCAAGTTAAATGAACTCATAAAGCTTAAGTAATAGTTTGAACTATTTTGAATAAAGTGATGATACAAATCCAAGAGACTGGAAAACCTGCGAGTGCAGAGAAGTGAACTGGGAATAAGCTGGTACATTGGTGCAGGTTGAGGATTGAAAGAGAAACTTTACATAGAAGTGACACACTGCCATGGTCCCTGCACAGGCCCCTTTCAAAGTTGTCACCAAATTCATAACAGGACCTTTCCTCACCAGAAGAAACACACACTACATTGAATTTATATCTCCAGATGATAGGTTACTCATATATAAAGTGATACATCATTTTACAGAAATTATTCACAAGTAAAGCAGGTTGTCAAAATTTAAAACTGGGAGGTGTGCATAGAACTCTTTTACGCCTCAAACCCAAAATGATTGACAATATTGGTTATATTATCTGGTTGTTGACTTTTCTACTGAACCCCCTTAAAGGGCCCATGATGCTTGAAACTTCTGTTTGACATCTTAATTAACTATCTGCATGGATATTTTAGACACATTATTCTCTGTCCATTAGTATACACATAAAAAAATTTGTATACTTATATCACCCCCTCAAAGACAAGGTGCATAACAAAAGATGGGGCAAATTCATATATGAGTCGAAGGATGAGAAGTAGTGCCATGAAATGCTGTCTTTTGGACATGGATGGGCACAGCACTAACAAACTCACTGCAGCTGTGCCCACCTGCAGAGAATCTACACAACATGGCATTATTCAATATTCTATGAAGGATGGGGAAGGTCTCAACAAACACTCTTTCCTCCCTGAGCCTGTTAATGCTTGATGGAAAGGGGCACACTGTTATCTTAAGCTCAGTGTTGTTCAAGACCAGCAAGTGACTTGCCTCCTCTGATTATTCAAGCTACACAAATGGAACATAGTGATCACATACTCATATGAGACAGAGAATTAGGAACAGAATTTGCTGGTAAGAAGAAAATGTTCAGTAGGAGTGGAAGGTATTTTAGAGAAGGGAATGGGGCGAATATGATAAAAAAATCATGTACATGTATGAAACTGTCAGAGTAGAAATGAAAATATTTCATAATTTTGAACATTTGTATAATATTTTCTTTCTTTCTTATCTCCCTTCATTTCTTTTTCCTTTATCTCTACTTTCATTTTATTTAAAGTAAGAATTTACTTAAGTACAATTACATAACCATTTAATTGGATTTATATAACTTTTCTGAAAAAAATGTCTTTCAAATATCGGTTTATTGTAGAGTATAAAGGTGCTAACTTATTTTGAATCCATTTAAAACTTTGCCATTAAGGTTGTTCAATTTTAGCCTCATTCCATGGGAAAAATCCACGTGGCCATAGACAGCTAAAGTCAAGCCACGTCTTACCTTTAAGAACGTGTCCAAGGAGCCGTTCTCCATATACTCTGTCACTATCATCACAGGTTTGCCTGGGAAGAAACAGAGTGCTGTCAGGGGTGGTCAGAGAGCACCATATTTTTCAGTAATAAATTTATTAATTTGTTTACTTTCATTTGCTAAGTTTTGATCAGGTTGTCCTACATCTTCAACATCCCTGAACACTCCCACTTCCTGCCACACACAGCTTTATGTACGTTCTTTCTCTCACTTTCAAACAACTACCACCCAGAACATTCTTATCTAGGAAATATAAACCAGACATTCTCGCAGTCTCACTGTGGATGTGTGTAAAGTTGTGATAGCGTTCCTGAGCACATTTATATTTATGTCAGCAATAAGTAAGTTATTTTGGTTATTTATTTATTTATTTACTTATTTATTTATTTGGTTTTACAAGATAGGGTTTTTCTGTATTGTTTTTTTATTTGTTTGGTTTTTTTTGTTGTTGTTGTTTTGAAGCCTGTCCTGGAATTAGTTCTTGAAGACCAGGCTGGCCTTAAACTCACAGAGTTCTGCCTGCTTCTGCCCCCCAAGTGCTGTATTTTATTTATTAACATAAAACAATTGTGTTGTATTGGAACGCATGTAGATATATGCATATAAATGCACACATATATACATGTATGTGTGTGTGCATGTGTGGAAGAGCACAAAGATCCATGTGTATGTCCTAGAAGAATATCCATGTAAGATCTCTACCTCTCTCTTATTCACCTGAGACAGGGCTATCTTAGTTTGGTTACTGTTGCTGTGATAAACTTGGGGGAAAAAAGTTTATTTGGGTTTATACATCTTGATTGCAGTTCATTATGGAGGGAATCCAAGACAAACAGTCAGGATCACAGGCAGAAACTGTAGAAGAGGGGTGCTACATTCTTTGCTCCCAGGCTCACTTTCATCACCCTTTTGTATGCTCCCAAGACCACTGCGGAAGAGTGACGCCATTCACTGTTTGCTCTCCTAACGTTTGTCAACAAGGAAAAAAAGACATACAGATATGCCTATCAGCCAAGTCTCATTAAGATTTTCCTTCAGTTTGAATTTCTTGCTCCCAGGTGACTCATCTTAGTGTTAGGTTGTGAAAAACTAACCTACCTAAGAGTCTTTGAGTGAACTTGAAGCTTGACGTGCATTGTCAAGATGAATGGTCAGGAGGCTCTGAGGTCTGCCTGTCCTGCTCCCCCAACACTGCAAGCCTTTCTAGTCATACCCCACTTTTCACTTGGATGTTGGGAAATTGAACTCTGCTACTTATTCTTGTACATCATGTAGTCATATTCACTGAGCCATCTCTGAAGCCCCAAGACATTATTTCTTATAAGAGTTGAGTGTTAATTCTACTGCAGTACAATTAATTATAAAATATAGCAATAACATCTATCAAATAAACTAGAATACACTTGTCTATCCTTGTCTATCTGAAAATTCTGAAAATGCTGATCTTGCTAATTGCTCTATTTATTATAGTTTCGATATATACTCCTTTTTTGACTTTTACATATTGTTTTCTAAGACATCCTTTCTTTATTTTTTCTTTCACGTTTATCTATCAAACTACCTTCCCCATAGTCTATTCTAATTATCTCGGGAATGTGAAGGTTATTTTAGAAATGAACACTTCTGGTGGAAGGGATTCCCCTTCTTCATGCCTGCTTTATAAGTGTGGATGGGAATTTCTCCACTCTGACTCTGAGGACAAGCTGTTAGACTGATACCTTTTGTTATTACTAGAATACTTAAATTCAGGTCTCAACTACACTAGATTAAGGAATTCCTATTTGGAAAAGTACTACTTCGGGTTTGTCATTCGGAGTACTTCAAGATATGTGCATGATTATAATCAGGGCATCTCTGTCAGAGTGTGCTGTTGCCAACAAAAGAGACACATTATGAGAAATGTCCTTTCCAATAAGGGCGTAGACTGGCATGCATGCTGCTTTGGGGATGGGAGCTCCAGATCTGATGCTACCAGATCCTCTAGTTAATGCTCAGCTACCTGGGATAGATACTCTAGCTTCTTTTCTGATTTTTAGACCTGTGATTTAAAGGGAATTATGCTACCACTATCCAGGGCTTGCAGCTTATGCATCGTAGGACTACTTAGGGGACAAAAATCACATATAAACATGCTACAAAAGTTATCTGAAAATTGGAAAGGCTTGATTAATATCACATGAATTAATTTTGTGTAAACATGCTACAGATTTTATTTGAAAATTGGAGAGATTTGACTAATATCACTATGACATAAGCTTGGACAAGGCAATCATCTTCGACACCTGATTTTAACCTGTTCCAATGAGGTTAATCATAGAATTTATCTCACAGAATTTTGAGTTTCTATCAAGCCCATATCGTCCAAGAAGTTTGTGTAGTTATAACCTCTTAGAAGGTTGCTTCATGAGTTGATTAACATTATTTTATAAATTTAATAAACTATTTCTGAATTAGTGTTCTTGTTAGGTGCAAGGAATCTCACATAATAAACCTATTGTATCCTCACAAATTTGTGGCATTTCTCACATAATATGCCAAGCCTATACAACAATGAGAATTAAAAAAAATAGCAAAAATCTTTTTGTTTGATGAGACTAAAACTAAAACATTTCTATCACTTTTAAAATTCCATAAAAATTTCATTTTAAAAATACATGCCAATTTGCTGTACAATGAAACGTATGTTGGGTAAAATTAAGCATTGATTTAAACTATTTTGAGTTAAGAAAAAGAACTCTAACAATAAAATGACTAGCTTTTATATCAATTATTTATATTTTATATATATTATGTTAATCACAGAAGTGAGTTTCATACAACTATTAAGAGCATTGTCATTAACTTAACTCTCAAGATGAGTTTTTTAGTTAAGAATTGATGAGTTCAGGGCACTGAATTAGAGCTTGCATATTTAACTACAACACGCTATATAAAAGTGCAAACTTAGCTATAGAAAAATCTGACAAACACATATGAAAAAATAATATAGACAGAAAAGAATTTTTTCATTTAAGATCATTTAAAACTACTATTTAGAATCATAAGACAGTACAGTTTAATTTCTCACTCAGATGATTATGCTCTCATGAAGTACATTAGTAGCAATCTTCTTTAAATTGAGTGTTACAGAGTATTACAAAGGCAGGAGAATATTCTTCATCCTCTTAAAGTTTAATATTCTTTTTTTATTAAAACTTGATTTGAAATTCTTGCAGAAGGTATAATGAGAAGTGACTAACATTCAAGAGTAGGTTCATGATATGCCCAAGAAACTTGTTAAAAAGAACTTATCAAGTTCAGATATGGACAAAGCGTTGTTTATATGTTTAAATTAAGATTACAACAAATAATAAAGGATATTGCTTTACAATTGGATTTCCAAGTCATAAGAGTCAATATTAAAGAAACAACAATTGATCCTGGCCATGATGTGGGAAAGGAGAAAACTATGCACACAGCTGGTAGAAATGTAAATTTATTAAACCATTGTGGGAATCAGAATGGTATTTTCTCAGGAAAATAATAATTGAACAACTAAACAACCCAGATCTACTACCTGTTTTGAAGGACCCTAAGTCATACTAAAGAAACACTTTCACATGTGTTTATTGCTGTATTATTCATAACGACTAGGAAAGAGAGTCAGTCTAGATGTCTATCAAGACAAATGTTAAGCCAAGTTCTAGAGGGTAGGAATGGGACAGACAGACATTTTACAAAAAGTATCTCATTTTGGGCAAATTTGTATCTTAAATTTTATTCCCAGTTCACAAAAATTAGAAGATAGAATTTCCACTGTAAAAAGAACTCTCACCAGAAAAGTGACTAACTTAATGAAAAATAAACATTTAGAAAAGGAAGGTGAATCTTTCCAAAGCAGACAGGTGTCTTGTCTATGTGATTTTTTCAAACGCTATTATCAAATTGTAAAAGTCAGATTAATTATGTGTGATAGTGTAAGTTGGAATGTCAAAAACAAAAATGTAATTGGAGAGGTATGATAAGGACCTAAAATGCATTTCTAATTTCCAATGATGATGAAAAGGCTATTAAAATGGATGTTTGCAAACAACTACAAGATTCTTTTGTTTATAAGAATAAGACACTTCAAGATCCATGTGATTATTTTTTATGCTTGAGTCATTTTAATGCTAATTACATTTAGTTTGGCTTATGTTTTTTCTCAGTTACAACTATCCAGCAGAAATGACATGGCAATAATTACTGTGGCTTACTCTAACCATTGTAAATTCAATAAAAGTGTATAAATCATTTTTCATTATCCAGCTGGCAGTACAGAAAAAGTGTAGATCTGCCAATAATTTTGAAAGCATATTATCAAAAATCCATCTAAAAAGAGCTCATAAAGCATGTCAAGACAGGACTTTAATCACAGAGGACACTCTACACAGCTTTGTGTTATTTCCTGAGGACCTACGCCAGGCAATCTATGAAAGTACGGTGCATTATTTGTGGAATTTGCTTTTTATTGATGCTCATAAGCTAGTTCCTTTATCTTGACTTATTAAATGTCTATCTATGCAAGAAACTATATTATTAATTGTTACTAAAGTTCTATAATCATGATATGAGAGTTGGTTTTTCTCAGTACAAGTAAGGCTCAGAAAGATTCTTACTAAGTTTGACAAGAGAAAGTCATTTAGGAAGGAACAATGGAGATATGAGAAGGGTTTTGTTTCTTTTTAAACTATGATTTCATAATTTCAAGATATGTATTACCAGCCCACATTTCATGTTATATAATAATGTATGTTCAAATTTTCATGTACTAATGTGAACAAGATACAAGCCATGTAATTATTGACTGTCTTATAGAATTCAACTTCTCTCGTTGTTCTCCTTTTATGTTTTTCTCTGTGTCTACTTTTGTTTGTTCTGTCTGCCTCCCTGCCCCTACACACTTCAGGCAATATATTGTGATATAAGCAAGCATTTCACATGTAAGAAGTATCTAGAATTCTTTAGCTTAAGAAGCAAAAGTATAAGAGTTGTAATTGAGTTTGCTTTGATG